AATATTCCCCTAAAGATAGGTAGCAGTAAGGCAAATGAATATTTTTTTTTTTTTTTCCCCAATGTTTCTTGGTAATTGCAAGTCTAGGGCATGCACAGGCAGGGAATGAATATATGCTGTGGGAGAAGGTATGAAGATGGATGTCCTGGAAAAGACACCAAGCACTAAGCAGATTCCTTTGGTAGTACATTCCAAAAGTGCTACAGAACTTCTAAAACCTGCAGTCTATCTGCCGTCATACTGATGGGGCAGACTTTTTTTTTTTCTTTTTTCCCAGAAATATGCCTTCTTACCTATTCTTAAGATGGCAGTGTGTTGTATAGTGCTGGTCTTTTCACTTGAGCCTAGCAGGTATTAATATAAATTCTGTCTTCTATTGACTGATCTATGATGGGGATCTTGAAAGACCCCCAAGCCTTATCAGCACACAAGTATAGCATTTTGATGGGCTCTGTTGTGTCAGGTGTTGCTGAGGTTTTGTCAACAGGGTGTGCTTCTCTTTTCCCTGTCTGCTGGTGACGTTTTTCTGTTGACCAAATTTTACAGCAACAATAATAGGAATATTTAACAAGCTGAGAGTTGATCTTGTCAAAAGACAGCTCAAATGTGGCTGATAATTGTTTGCTTCCGAATAGGATATTCTGCTCTTTCATGGTGCTATGCAGCTGTCTGAATAAACCTGATTAATGAACCTGGGAACTAAAGGGCAGTGTTGGTCTGCAAAAGTCACCAGTACAGATGTGCCAATACAGCAAAATGGTTTTACTGGCCTTTTTTCAAGAAGTCATGTGCTCTGAAAAATATGAGGAATGCAGTTCTTCCTTGGGCACCAGTTCTAAATGTGAATGGTGTGGGTAAGATGGTTTGTTAAAGGGAGTTTGTGTGATGTGTAGGAAGGGAGAACTGAAGTTTCTGTGTATTGCCAAGAATTGTGGTCCTGTGTAACAGGATATACTTAACTTCTTTGGGCACCTGTTTGTCAGCTGCAGCTCACACAGATTGTTCTCCTGCAGTCAAACCAGTAGCCATCTAAGACTGCAAAGTACCAGAATGCAAAGGTCATTTTGGAGATAGGGAGGGACTCTTGATCAGGGAATGTAGTGATAGGACAAGGGGTAATGGTTTTACATTGGAAGAGGGGAGATTTAGATTAGATATCAGGAAGAAATTCTTTACTGTGAGGGTGGTGAGACACTGGAAGAGGTTGCCCAGAGAAGCTGTGGCTGCCCCATCCCTGGAGGGGTTCAAGGCCAGGCTGGATGGGGCTTGGAGCAACCTGGTCTGGTGGGAGGTGTTGGCAGGGGCTTGGAACTCAATGATCTTTAAGGTCCCTTCCAACTCTAACCATTCTCTGAAATACATTCTATGCTTTTTGTGTGTGTGTGCGTGTCAGTCATTCTTTAGAATTCCCATTTCCATTGCTGCACAGGGACTGTGCCGATAGGTGTCCAAATAACATAGAACCAAACTGTCTGCTCTCAGAATGGTCAGTGCAATGTCTGTCACCTGAGTGACTGTGATGCTCAAAGTTTTCTGTTGGAAAATCAGAAAACCAAAAGATTTTGGAGGTCATAGAGGTAAATGGGCCGGGGGGAGCACAGTCTAAATAGATGGGGAAAAAGAAAACTAATAGGATAGAGCTGATAGAACTATGGAAATATTTCCAGGTATTCTGTAATGCCCTGTGATTTCTGTCATCTTAAAACGTTCATTGGCTACGGCGGTGAGGTATCATCATGCCTGTTTAGAGCACAGCTTATTGTTTGCTAATGCAGTAGCCTCTCTGTACCGAGAGATGTTTGCTGCCATGACTTCAATAAAAATTTCTTGTATAGACATAATTTTAATATGTTAGTTTTAAATTCTTAATAATTTCATAAACTTGCTACTCTCCCACTGAGATTGTAATAACTTCTAATTTTGTACTGTAGAATTATTTTATAGTAATTAAGTCAGTTTTTATTTGTACTGTCCTAATTTCTTTCTGCTGTCTGTTCTGTTACAAGACTTTTTTTTTTCCCCTTCCTCTGTGTGTAGCTGGATGCAGTCTCCTATGACTATATCTGGCATTTTTTAAAAAATCTCTGTCTTGATAAGTAACTTCTTGTGTTCATGCAGTTAGTAATAAATATTTGGTCACAAAGCCAGACTTGCTTTTGAATTCAAAGTGTCCCGTTGTTGTGATCGTAATTTGGCATTGAGGAACAGATAGGTATTATGGTAGTAAGTAATAGATTGAGTAAAATTCTCATTTATCAAGGCTACTTCCTTAATATATTAGTTCATTAGAGACCTGTATAGGTCTCTAGGGTGTCACTGAGGAACTGCTGCCTCAGTATCTGGCATTCTGTCTTTCAAAATATGTAACCAGAGGTGACTTTATTGGACTGTATGTTAACAATACTATTTTCAGTGCATTTTTCTTGGCTTTATCCTTAAAGTACTTCTGATCTTTGAATGGAATGGTATTCTCAGGCTACAGCTTTCTCTATTTTTCATCTCTTGTTGACTCTGTTTTGTTAGTTTTTTGCTAAAGCTGCTTACTAATAACTACCGAAAATATCTGTGGGCCTGCTGCTTTCTTTTTTATCTCATAAATAATCATCTGTCCTGTACATTTTTCAAAACTAGAAAGAACACACCACCTTTGCAACACAGTTTTAAATTTGCCCTGTTGATGCCGATAACCACTTCTAGTGGTTTGGGAAGGCTGGGATCTCTTGGGCAGACTAGAAAAATGATGACAAGTGTGTCCTGGTCTTTCGTGACCTGACTGACTGGCCGAACTCACAGCACTGTAAGGTGCATTGTAACATTTTAGAGGTTTGGGTATGCCTTGTTTTCAGGATAACCTGAGATCCTTTCAGGGGATGTATCAGATGTTTCTTTGCCTTACAGACTATTGCATTTTTTGCGTTGTACATAAATATAATCTCTGGGTTTTGCTGGAAATCAGTAAAGCAGAATCTGAGGAAGACTCTATAACAAAATTCAAGTGTGATGTTTTGTAAGTATGGGCTGGTTTCCATGGAGAAAGCTCAGTATTCAAACTAAAGCCCAATGCTACTGTTTAGTGAAGTAGCATCAGAGATACTAGAACTTTGCTGTATTACAGAACATAACATGGATTTTCTGTTGCGGTTTTTCTTTTTCAGTCCTTGTTACTTTCATTTTGTGCACTCAATAATAGAATTTATATATGTCTGATGCTGGAACACAGCTCAGAGGACAGAGGCATGATTTTATTTTGGAGAAGATGAGTGCCTTAGTTCATGGCTTTCATTGCCAGATGTATGTCAGTCCTTGTTGTGGTACCACTGGACAGTGTTAAATCCACACTGGCAGGCTGTGGCAATACATCTCTCAGACAACCAGCATTGGCAACAGTGAGAACAACCAAACTCTTTCTATGTCTGTAAAAGGCAAACCTAGTCTCAGATTCTTTCTTCAGGAATTGCTTATAGTTCCAAGTTCTAATGTTGCCCCTGGCTTGGGCTTGTCATTTTCAGAATAAAATAAATGAAAGTGTGTTATGTGTCACTAGAAGTGCGTGCTTCAGGAAGAAAGAGGAGACCAAATCTCAAGAACTTTGCAATTACACTGGAATTCACTAGGGCACAATGGCCTCTTAAAATGCATGGGAAAAGTGACAAGTACAAACAGTTCCCTTTGTTTAGGTACACCTTACTCCCAGTGCCTTTGCCCAGTGACAGTATTTGGTTGTTATGCCATTTGCCCAGCAGGTTAAGTCCTTGATTTCCATTAGTTTCAGTAGTCAGTGTGTGCACTATGCATCAAACACACATGGCAGAAACCCAGCCAGCAATCCCTACTGCTTCTTGGCGGGAGTTTATTCAATCTGTTCCTCTTGGCTAGGACTCTTATCCTGGCTTGTGGTCTTATTTACAGTGTGGTGGCAGAGTTATTTCCACTCCAACGCTCTGCACTGATATTGTCTAAATGCTTTAGGATGAGATATGGCTGGAGATCTGTAGAGAGCTGAACTTAATTTAAATTCTACAAGAGCTATCTGTTATTTTCAGAATTTTTTTTTTTAGTAATATAAAATATAGACATTTGGGAATGGGGGTTGAAACCTATGGTCTCTGCTTGAGAGACTCTGTTTGGTCTTCTGAGCCATCATGTGAATACCCTACTCCTGGACCTCATATGTAAATGTTTTCCATCATATTCAATACTGTTCAGGGATTATGTAGATGCATAATGATGTAGGTGCAGTTCATGCTTTAAAGCCTTGAGTGCAGAGCCATGGATTTGGCAAAGAGCTAGGGAAAAGAAGTTTTGGCAAGCTCATGTTTAGGGAGGATCCGTTTCAGGAAATCTTTGCCACACAATTCCAAATATTCATGCTGATACTGTAGAATACAAGTCTTTATTGTTTTCCCTCTCCTTTCATGTACTTAAGACAAATTTGTGTCGTAAAAATAGTTTTTTGGGGGATAAGCACATTCTTTGAACAAAGTACATTCCATTGAATTTACAGTGGGATTTCAAATTGTTGTGTGTTGGCTAGCTCTCCGTGTGCATGGTTATATCCCACAGTGAAGGTGAAGTAAGATATTCCTTGTTCAGTGACTTGTTGCCACTTACATTGGTACACTAAGCAGTAAAAGTAAGATTTTATTTACTGCCAGTTACTATAGGGCATTTGCACAATAAATTGTTACTTTACAGGAACTTTGTTGTCCGGGTCCTAATATTGCCCCTGCCTTAGGATGATCATTTCCAGGATAATTTAGATATGCATGTTGATTTTTAGAGCGCTTTGAAAATTTGCCACTTGAATCAGTCCCTTTAGCCTGCCTTCTGAGAGGATTATTTCAAGAGTGAGGGTGAAGGATGAGCAACGAGCGCATCTTGCATCCCTGCTGGTGGTGACACTTGTGTTTGTAGCAGATCCTGGTGCGTCGGCAGGAGGCCAGTTGGAGTGGTGAGCAGAGGGGATGAAAAATGCTGTGGAGGCGGAGTTAGGATTAGATGAGTGCTTTGCAGGGTGAGGAATCCAATCTCGATATTCTAATAAAAACGGAGACCTATGTACCGATATAGAAAGTCCGGTGGGGAACTCTAGTAAATGTGTAACTTCAGTCTGAAAGCTGCTTGTGTCAGGTAATATGTGGGGAAGAAGGGGAATCACGGGGAAAACATAACCATTACGTAAAATGAGTGCTTTATCTAGACTATGTTAAATAATAGAAGCTCCCTCTCAAAAAAGTATCACATAATTGGAGATGTTTCAGAGGTGGCTGGAACATGAGAAATACGAGGTAGACACATGTAAAGAGAGTGATTTATTTGAAGGGGATGAAAATGAATAAGAGGATAATACGTATGTAAATATATGTATCTATGCATATATGATGAATCTGGAACATCTGCTGTCACTGTCTTATAACACAAGAAGAGGGACGTACTTTGGTGAGATTCTTACCAAGATTTTTATTGTTTATTCTCCTTCCACCCCCCAATACAGAGCTCGCTGAAGATGTCTGGCTTATATTGCTTCAAGCTGTCTGGACATTTGCTGTTTAACTGCTGAAGCTTTCCTACTGCTTGTTTTTCTTCCCAAGCCTTAATCTATTGAGGGATCAGAATCATCTGCTATGGTGAGACTTTAAAAAAGTGGTAGTAAAATGGTAAAAGTGGGTGTAATGTGCCGGTTCGTTTTGGTTTTATTTCTTTCTTCGCAAGATGCCAAAAAAAAATATCTTAATGTTTTACAAAACCAGAAGAGGATGATGTCCAACTTTGAACTAACTAACCAGCCAACCAAGAAACTTTGTTCTGTATTTTGTCTGTTTATACTTGCCTTACACTTCTCAGTGAGGAATAAGAATGAAGTGAATAATTTCACAAGATCATTTCTGTGTGTGTAGATATATGTGTATATCTCATCAAAACGTTGTAATTGTTTTACAAGTCTGTTCTAGATCTTGCATTTTGTTTGAAATGCATTTGGGTTTAATGTCAGTTCAAATTATGGTATTTAAAACGCTTAAGGTGATTCATAGAAGCATAGAAGTTTTGGGTTTTGGAGAACAAAAATTGGTAAAAGTAAGAGGAGAAAACCTTGGAAACAACAGCTGAGAGACAAAAATGACTGCACCTCTAAGCAGATACAAATCCACAACTGTTCACTAGCTTATGTGATAATACTGCATTTGGAAACTGATATTTTTCCTTGATCTCAACAACTGTAGCAGTTTTGAATAACCAAATGATATTTTACAAATTTCAGGAATCAAGACCAACTAAAACATGAGAAGATGTATTCAAGATTATCCAGCCAGAAGATTTTTTACTTCCTAGAAAACTTATTTTTGTTTAATATGTAATATAATTCGACAAAGCCAAGCTCAATTATTTCTCTTGAAATTCAGACGCACCTGTGGCCTTCATCAGAAATGTTTCTAACATTTTCAAGAAAAAATATGTCCCAGAAACTGAGTATGTTTTTACTAGTTTTTGGAATCATTTGGGGTTTGATGTTGCTACGTTACACTTTTCAGTATCCAAGACGCCAAAGCAGTGCCGAGTTGCGTGGACAGATACTAGATCTAAGTAAAAGATATGTCAAAGCACTGGCAGAAGAAAATAAAAATTTAATGAACGGTGGCGGTGGAGCCTCTATGGCAGGATACGGTAAGGGGAAAGAGCCATACTAGTTACTCAAATATTTTTTTTCCCTCCTGAAAACTAAAGTTATACTGTTCTCTTTTTTTAAAGTAATATATACTGCTCTTTATTAGAAGAAAATCTTTATTAACTGATTTGATTTTAGTTTATTCACTGAATTTGAAGATTAAGATGTGGTGCAAAATCAAGGTTGATACATGAGATCTTTCTTTTTTCCCAGGATTTTTTTAGGTATCTGCTGGTATATGACTGCTGTTACTTAAAGGATTAAAAGTAACATTGTGCTTTTTCTGAATCCTAAGCTATTGAGGAATAACACCTCCTTGATACAGGAACAAAATTTTAAATTAAGTCAGTTCAACATTTTATATTCTTCTTGTGCCTCATTGCTAACTTTCTTTATTTTTTTAATTTTCTTCTCTTTAAGTAGTAAAAATTCAGCGGAAGGTGCCATACCAGTTGAGTTTTCAATCTTGAGACTGCAAGGAAATTATGAATTTATGAATTATGAATTTAACAGAATTTCCCCTTGCTTTAAAAGTAGCCATTAGAGATGAAGTCCTTTGTCTCTAGAGCTTTGATACTTGCTGCATCTCATCTCGCTGATTTACCTGTTGGCTTGATGAGTATGTGGCCAGTATTCACTGGTAATATAATACAGAACAGATAGTTTTGAGACTATAGTGTTGAGACCTCTTTAGCAAAGCTATAAAAATGTATTAATAATTTTAACTCTTTGGTTCCTCATAGCTTCTCTTGAGGGAAGGCTGCAATGAGTTCTAGTTAATCCCTTAAGGATTAGGTTTGAAGAAACTACCCGTGTTCTTTTGGAAAGGAGAAAATATATCTGTGAAAATAAGCGTAGTATAAGGCTTAAAAAGAGATATTAATATATATGTAAATGTTTATATTAATGTATTTTAATCCCCTTCTTAAGGAATCCTTAAAAGCATGGGCTCTACCTGTTGTAAGATGCCCTTTATAGGCACCTGGTAAGAGTACAAGCAGAAAAATGTGTCTGAACTCTTTTTGCTGCTGCTCAGGAATAAGGAGGCAGGTCTGTAAGGACAAGATGAGGAGGAGGACAGTATCAAAATGTCTTAGCCTTTAATTATTTCATGCATTAAGTTAACATTTTTACCACAGTAAGAGCCTACTTTTCCTTTTCTTTTCCCTTTCCACTTCATCGCTTTTTTTTTTTGTCTTCGAGGATTTCCTGCCTTTACTGTGTAATTACTTTTCTGTGTAATTTGTTTTAAAAAACCCTTATGTACTGCAGCTTTCTACTGCTGTGTAAGTCTCACAGTGTATTTCCAAACGAGATTTGCTTTCTGAAGGTTAATAAAAAAATTAAGTCAACTCTTGGTCTACATGCTGATCATCAGACTTAGAACTTGAGGAGACAATTCCTTCCCTCAGACTGTTGAGCACAGAATGGTACTATGGAGTATGTGACCTACAGTGTGTCATTGACAGCACTGCTCTGGCTCAAGTTGTAAAGCAATTTTTAATTTTTTTTTTTAAAACAATATGATATGGCTAAACAAAAACTAGTTAATTTTAGAGGGAGGGACCGACCTGATTTTTATTTTTATTTTTTTAATTAGCACACCAGTGGTAAATTATCTGGGTCATTCCTCTTTTTCCACTTTCATACCTGTGATTTTCCTCCCCAATTTTTCTGGTCAGTTAAGAACCGTTTAGCGAGTTGGGGGAAGAGACAGTTTATGAATGTCTGCGTGTATTGGGGATGGTTCTTAACACCTCCTGAAACCTGGTATGTTTCCTTATTTTTTCCACTGAAAGATACGAACATTGACAACAGCGTAATTAGCTTTTGTTGAGAGGTCTGTTAACTGGTTTTGTGTTCCAGAATGTGGGAATTTTTTTACTGTCCTTTTTCTTGTTTTTCAATCAATATAGACCTAAATATGTGGATTTATTTTTCCTATTTCATAGCTTATGTAAGAAGTGCTAAGATACTTTCTCATTGAAGTTTTCCTGTGGAATAGGTCTGTTACTTAGAGGAAAGCTATTAATAACTAATGTTGGAAAATATTTAAATATATTCTGTTGCTGTCAAAGGCTAAAAGGTGTCATAGCTGGCTATTCTAGTGCTGTTGTCTGGATGAAATCTGAAATACTGCCTTTGAATAGTCACTATTCTAATGCTCCAAATAGCCTGGAGCTTGAATATTTAATTATTTAATACTTAGTTGGCTTCATTCACAGTTCACTATTATGGTGGTCTCTTCCTTGCCTAAAAATAACAAAGAAATGGTATTAAAGAAAAATCAAGCAGCTGTTTAATTCTGTACTTGTACACCAACCTGTACTCTTTCCCAAAGAGTACAGGAGGAAGGACAGCAAGTCATAAGATGTGATTATGTTGAAATAGCAGTTCTTTGCCACACATAGTAAATAATAGGATCTAACTTATTTTTTCCATTATCCTTAGCTGATCTTAAGAGAACAATTGCTGTTCTTCTGGATGACATCTTACAACGCCTCGTGAAATTGGAGAACAAAGTTGATTACATTGTTGTGAACGGCTCAGCGACAAATACCACTAATGGAACTAGCAATCAGGTGCCAGTAACTTCAAACAAACGTGTAAAACCAGCAAGCAACATTAGATAGCAAACAGGGCTGCTTCTGTTGCTACAAATATGATAGGTAATATTTAAGATAAGCTTTTTATCTCTGGCTAGGGCAAAGCAGTAGTTGACTCTAAAAGACGCGTAAACTCTTCTGTTATACAATGTGCTGGATCTACATAGGCCTAAGTTATGTGCATAGGTTCTCAAAGCATTTTTTCATTGCCTTTGAGCAGTGCTTCTGAAGTGATCTTTGTCGTCTTTAAAGATATTTTGATATCCCAATTTGATGAAGTATGCCATTGGATAATAACAATAAATGGAAAGGAATGGGGAACTTACCGGTAGGTTTCTAAATATATTTATTTAAGTATAATATAACATATCTTTTGGATAGGTGAGCAGTATTGTAGCTTATTCATTTTTTGTGATCTGCGTTAAGCTGAGGTAACTGAGAAAAACACATTGTTCAACAGATGTTAGAAAATGTGTATACTTAACAATATTGTTACACATTTACTAAAACACTATTAAATTAAGGCTAGCATTGGCAGTAATGTTTTAAAATTGTGACCCAAAGAATGTCTTCATTTGCACTATCTGTCATAATAGCTAGAGAGAATTTACTGTATATTTAAGAAAATTAATTATAATAGGAAAACGTCCTAGGTAGTAACACTGTCCAGGTATATCTTTATGCTGGAGTTAGGGCAGTTAGATTATTGAAAGCAAATCATAATCTGTGATATCTTAGATGATTATTTCTTACAAAGATATTTAAGTGTATGTATTTTGTAATTGCAGATAAGATTATTTAAGTGATGGAAATAAGTTTTGGATATGTGAATACTGTTTATTTTTATTCATTGCTGTTTCTTTTTAACTTTTTAGTACCTTGCAATTTGTGATGAGTATAGCACACCATCTCTCTGAATTGCTTTTTTGATCAGGAGGAAAAGCAATGAAGGGAAAAAAGGCATCTCTGCATTTAATGGAGATGCATGTTCTAAGGGTGTCTTATGGAGTATTTTAGAGCTAAGGTAATGTTTGCCTTATGTCTAAGTTAGCCTTACAGAAAAGCGAATTGCAGTGTGGATGCACTGTATTGCAAAATGTTACTGAAGTCATATTAAAGAGAAAGTGCCACTGAGCCTGTTTTTTAAAATGTACTGAATGTGGGGGGGGAGGGAGGGTATATTCAGGGACTTTTGCCAAAAGTGTGCTGTGGGTGGGTGGGGGGTCTAATCCTTTCTTAAGGAGAAAAACTCACCAGTAAAACCGGAGGTGCTGGATGATACACCATCCAAAGTTATGTGTTCTTTCTTTTCTTCAATTTCCCTGCTGATACTCTGGACTGCTACAAAGGAAAAATACACTTACAACTTTTGTTAGTATCCAGATGACTTTTTTTTCTGTCACATTGTGTGTAAACATATACTCACTCCAATGCAGAAAGAGAAAAATAAATTTTTAATTGTACTTATAAAGGCTCCTGTTCTTTTTTTTTTTTAAGTCTTGTCATTCTTCCTACTTGTGCTCTAGGTGTTTCTGGGTTGGAAAATAGGTATGTTTTTTCATTAACACAATCATTTAAAGAGGCTGGCTAGATAGATCTAAATTCTAATTGACACTATTTGTTCACGCAGAGGTTCCCAGGCTGCATGGTGTCTGTGATGTCTCCAAGCTGCCCAAGTCCCCAGCTGCCTCCTGCCCAGGTTCTGCTCTGGGGTAATCACTGCCATCGTAGGAATGTGGAAGGAGAGTAAGCTTGGGAACCTCTACAAGAAAGTTATTTTGAAAGATGACTACATGAAATTTAAGATCGTAGTTTATTACGTTTTCTTAAAAAAACTTTTGGAAAATACTTCCTTCAAAATACTCAATGGAATAAGCTCAATCTCTAAAACATTTTGACTTAATTGGTGTGGTTTTTTAAAGGTCGTGTAGAGTGTCTATTGAAATCTTTAACGTTCCAGATACAACCAGCACACCTGGGATTATGTCCTTCCATTAGTTCTTCACAAAACAACACTGCGTTCTGTGGGGTTCATTTTAATGTATTTGTTAGTATGTAAAATACTTTTTCAAAGGCAAGAGTGAAATGGGAGATTTCTTTTTATAGCAGCTTCTTAGCTGAATTCACCTTCTTAGGTGAATTAGACTTCTGCAATTTTTCTCATGTGGAATAGACTGTCACTGAATGGTTATTTCACTAAACCTTGGTTTGTCTGAGATGATGCGTGCACCTATCTGTTTGTATCTGTAAACAGAAACATTTATATCTGTTTAAAAATTTAATTTAGTTTATTAAAACGAGGCCCAAGTTAAAGAAGGAACCTCCCATTACATACGTATATGAAATCCCATCACTTCAGCAGCAGTGCCATCACATGCTATGGAATTATCTTATCTCTAAGTGATCTTAATTACTACAAATTTCACAACTATGTTTGTCAGTACCTCCAGCAAAAAACTTTCATTATTAATTGATCTGAGCTTGCATGTTCCCTGTGGCATTCACCAACTTACACTGTGCGGTAGATGTTTAATTACATTCTGTTTCTTTGACAGCAAAACTGACGAGAAACATGTTGACATTTTTTTAAACGTCTGTAAACTAAGGTTAATAAGATGCAAACTGATTTTTATTGTAGCATAATTTATGGTCATTTATAATGAGTACTGCTTGTATTTACTTTGAAGTATATCAGAATATTGATAACAAAAGTGGAGGGAGGGAGGACACAATTTGATGGAAACTGTTTCCATTATTCTTCATGTCACTTCAATTCTTCTTGTTTTCAGAATAGCTAAATAGAGATAGTCATTGACCAAATGCATAGAAATAGAATGACTAACTACCACTTCAAAATGATGACTTGAGGTCTAAAATATTAAAACAATTATTTCTAAATTATGTATTCTTGCATTAATAAAATGGCTATCTTCAATTTACATAGATATTCCACTGAGATGAATTTTAAAGCACTTGTCAAACTTGTAAGGATTTCAGAAAATTTAAAGGGTCACACATTTTATTGTTAACAGAGGGTGTTGAGAGAGACTGTCAACACCCTGCACGGCATTAAGCTGTTGCCTTTGATGTGTAGGCAGCACCTTAGGTCTCGCAGAGCTGTACTGAAAGGGAGTGTCCATATGTTCAACCCACTTTGATGTCTTCAGAGATCCTGGGCCAGCAGCGTCCGTATGCTCCATCACAGCCATAGGAGGTAAAACGTGCCATCTGGATTTCTGTTCCTTTTACTTACCTTGTGACATGGCCTCTCTACAAGCCTTTTTTTTTTTCTTTTTCTTTTCCCCTGGTATTCAAAAGTATTTGGTAGTTTACAATTGAAAAATCTGATTTGACTCAGTTTTAAATGAATTTTATTTCAGATGTCCATTAACAATCTTTTAGAAGGGATGGGAGTCAGGGGAGGATTTTCTGAATCCAATATTTATTCCAATATTCATGCTGTGACAGTGAAACAGTGGATGCTTGAATGTCTTTATTAGCTAAGGACTCAATTTCTTAGTTACAAAGTCTTTCTCCTTGTATATCTGTTCCCAAATAAGTCTATGAGCACAAATTTGGGACAAGATGCTGGGGTGCTAATAAGCTGAACACTGTCTCTTTATCACAGAGAACACTTGCTGTGATCAAATCTGGGAATAAATCCTCCATTCTTAAGATGGGAGGTAGTTCATAGGACAGGTGCCCCACAAAAAAATTACTTTTGATTTCCTACTCCTGAGCCTTTATGCTCTCTGTTCACAGGAAATCTGCTACTAAAGTAAAATACAGACTAACATTTGTAGCCCTCACCAAAAGCTGCCTAATTCAGAGATGTGGCTCTGCTCTCCAAACCCCAACTGTATTTAAACAAAGATCTTGCACAGTTGAGGTACATCAACCCATGACAGAGGAGCTCAGCTCATTCTGCCTGCACCAGGCTTGCCAGAGCTCTTCCCCCAATTTTATTGGCATTGCTGGGATCTCTGGCACTAGAGGAATGTGCATAGAGATCAGGTATCTCAAAGATCCTCAGTTTTGTGCAGCTCCTGTGCAGTGTTGTGTTCTGTGGTACACTCAAATTCCACATCTGCAGAGCTGCTTGTCCTGCTTTCGGGGTCCCTTTTCCCCATCTGTTTCTGTGTGTGTGTGTGGTTTTCTTTTCTGTAGCAAGCTGACTTGACGCTGAATTTACTGCAGTGATGACTTGTGCCCATGTCTCTTGTGCCGTTAAGAGGGACCTGTTTGTGTTCAGATCTCAGTGTGACAGAACACGCATGTCGTACCGCAGTGCTGGCTGCTCTGCTGAAATGTCTTACACTTGTGGCATAGCCACAGGACAGATGCCCAGACCATCTGCCCTGTCACCTTATTTAGATACTGCTGGAAACCTCAGAGTCCCCCCATTGTTTTATCTCTCTCTCTGGGGGATGTTTTGGCAAAACACTCCCTTGGTCCTTGTGACATCTCTCTTCACCTTCTGCTGTGTTGCTGGTGGCTTGCCCAGTGCAAAACAATCTGGAGATGTCCTTGAATTGCTGCACTTTCTTTGATGGGTCACTTTATTGTATGGAAAAAGCTACCCTCTTGGGACTCCTTTTGACAGCCTCAGGGCTCGTAGCTTATGCTGACACACAGAGCACAACTTAAGCATCAATTTCCTAAAGCTCAATGAGGAAAAACATACATACTGGATCTTTTACTCACGTACTCAGTGCCTGGGTGACCAATATTGTGTGAAGAGGAAGCAGTCAAGTTGCAGAGATGGTGCAGTATCAGCAACAGCAGCCTGTCATCGATTGACTACAGCCTTCAAGCACATTGGAGGAGTTGTTTCAGTTGTTTGTGGCACATGGTGAGGAAGTGGAAATTGCGAGTTGCCAGTCTGAGAACCATCTTTGGTTACAAGTGCTTCCCAAAATTGGCCTCCTTTTGTCTTGAACCGTGAACAAAACATATATTTTTATAATGGAAGAGCTTTCAAAAAAACTCAGTGAGTTTGAGGTAAGATTATGATATCACGGGGCAGCTTTCCTGTTCTAGACGAAATAAATCTTTCTAGCTGTTCTAGATAAATGGCAACAGTATTTATTTTTTTATTTTTTTTTTAGGATCAACAGTTTGGTATTATCTCTAAAACACAAAGATAGGGTCTGGCTCTGCTCTGAAGAGTTTTACAGTTGAGTTCCTCGATGCTGTAACTGGATCACGTTCTTCACATTCTCTGTGGATTCTTTCATGCACTGAGAATGAAACTCCATCGATCTAAGCTCACCCACTGGGGTAACTGAAATTCAAGATCTACACCAGCAAGTGAAGGGCTGACACATGGTGTTGGGTATCCAGGGGAGGGGGTTTCCTTGTTAAATGTATACCTTATGCAACAAGACATATAATGCATTATGCATTAAGAATTAAAGAACATACAAGGCATCTAAGGCTGTTTGATGTTCTTCACACCTGCCTCAAAATGTTAAATATTTAAGCTGTTTGTTGAAAAGTAAATATTTGAAATGGATTTGTTTACAAAGTCGCATCCTTTTACTCTGGCTAAAAATTAAAAACCACTTGGAATAAGGAAAAAACATGGAGAAATGGTCATGCTTATGCCAAAATTGTGTTTTCAGACATCTCTTTTAATTTAATGTCTGAATTAGTGTTTTTCTTTTTGCTAGCATCTTTGCCATCAATGCAATCTGTAAAAACTAAAGAACCTTTCGTCTGCCATGGGACCTTGTCTGTCAAAGCTAATCCTGAATAAAGCTTTGTTTGCTATAAAGCTTATCTGTTTTTCCTGTTGTATCAGTTGATCTAATAAAAGATGTTACCTATTCGTAATAAACTTTGCCAAACTAAACAGGTAATCCACAATAAAGGGAAGGCTTGTCACCTGGCAATAGTCAACTTGGTTATAGCTTATCAACATAGTTACAAACCCCACCCTGTCTTTCTACTGCTAATAAACAGAATAATACTGTTGAGTTCCCTTGTATGGCTTGATTAGGGAATGAAAGCCAAGTCACACATGATTTTGTTAGCGTTTTTTTACACAGTATGTTCCTGGGACCTTTTATTTGTGTACAGTGCACAACAGCAGAGTCAGAAGCAAAGGGTATAGCAGCTGGAGCATGGAACTGGTGAAAACTGGTAACTTACATGGTTTGTTTATTTAGCTTGAGTGGGAATGTAAACGTTAAACAAGACTGTGGCAGCAATTGGAGCCTGAGTAAGCCTTACCAGCACACACTAATTATTCCTGGTGGGACTGAAGTGGTGCAATTCACCTACCTCCCAGGAAGACAGCCATGGTGCTGTAGGATAGGCTTGCTGTTTATGTACAGGAAAAAGGTGTAATTAAAAAGAGGAAATCCACTCTAGTACTAGAATAAAATGATTGCGGGTGATAGGGTTAACATGGTCAACATTACTGTAGTTGAAAACTTACGCCTCTGAGCTAACACGTAGTAGGAAAACAAATATATATGGCCTTGCAGGGTAGAGAAAAACAAGCCACATTTGCACCATGCAGAAGCACTTGCACATGGTTATCCAAGACCCATACTACAGCCTTTTTTCAATGCAGTGGTATCAGCTAAGAATGACTGGAGATCATCAAAATGGTGCTTCTTGAGCGAAGGTAGCAAGGCTTTTTTTATTTAGTTCAGGCAAATTGGAGGAACTTTTTGTAGGTAAAGAACACAACTGTACTTCATACTTTGTCAGGATATTGTAGAGGTATTCCTGTACCCACAACACACCTCCTGTGTATAGAATCATAGAATCCTTTTGGTTGGAAGAGACCTTTAAGGTCATCAAGTCTAACTGTTAACCTAGCACTGCTAAAACCACCACTAAACCATGCCTGTCTGTCTGTCTGTCTTTTCAATACCTGCAGGGACAGCAACTCAACCACTTCCCTGGGCAGCCTGCTCCAATGCTTGATAACCTCTTCGGTGAAGAAATCTTTCCTGATACCCAATCTGAGCCTCCCCTGGCGTACCTTGAGGCTGTTTCCTCTTGTCCTATCACCTGTTACTTGGGAGAAGAGACCGACCCCCACCTCTCTATGACCTCCTTCCAGTAGTTGTAGACTTGCCCTTTCTGCGTGCTCTGTACTTGGGATGCCAACACAGGGCAGCCAAGGTGTGGTGTAAAGGGACCTAACGCAGGTTCCCTTCATGAGAGGAGGTCCTGAGCAGTCCCTGTCTCCAGCTGGAGCTTTCCTGAGATTTCCCTCCCTCGCACCTGCCAAGGAATCAGTCACCAAGCAACAACAGAATCATAGAATAATTAGAGTTGGAAGGGATCTTAAAGATCATTGAGTTCCAACACCCCTGCCATGGGCAGGGACACCTCCCACCAGACCAGGTTGTTCAAAGCCCCATTTAGCCTGGCCTTGAACCCCTCCAGGGATGGGGCAGCCACAGCTTCTCTGGGCAACCTCTTCCAGTGTCTCACCACCCTCACAGAGAAGAATTTCTTCCCAATATCTAATCTAAACCTCCTCTCTTCCAATGTAAAACCATTACCCCTTGTCCTAGGGGTACACTTCCTGACAAGGAGTCCCTCGCCAGCTCTCCTGTTGGTTCCCTTCAGAGCCTGGAAGGGAAATACCCCTTCCCTCCCACCAGAAACGTGGTGAGGTCAGGCCTAGCTCAGCAGCCACTCAGGACAAGGTGAGCGCAGGGGCAGAGGCTTCCAAGGAGGGTTGGGGTGGATGGGGACGCGTTGGGTGGTGTGTCAGTGGCTGTGTCCGTGCCCTTGCTGGGTCCTGGAGACAGGCGTGTCCCAGCCCCGCAGTTCTCTGAAGGTGCCCTCAGGATCCGAGGCGGGGGTGTGTGTCACCACCTCCACCCCCCCGGGGAGGCCGGGTGCGCACCCAGGCGGCTCCGTGAGCCCGCACGGGCTGGAGCAGCCCCGGCAACCGCACCGCACCGCGGGGACCGGCCCTGCTGCCGCCTCGCCCAGCGCGCCCGGCCCGAAGGCGGCGGGGCGGGCCATGGAGCGGCTGCAGGTGGATGCGGCGGCCCTGGAGGAGTACGCGGAGTACCGGCGGTGAGGGGAGGGAAAGGAGGGCCGGGCCTCGCCCGCCCTCGCTGGGGAGGGGAGAGGGGCTGAGGGGCGGCGGTTTCCCCTCCCTGCCCACCGTTCCCCTCAGGAGAGCCGGGCGTCGCTCCCCGCCGTCCTGAAGCCGCCTCTCCGGGATCGGCGGCGGCTTCGTTGTGTCACACAGCGATACCCCCCCCGCTTCTCCTTCCACCCCCCCCGCCATTTACCGGCGAGGTGGGAAGCGGCCTGACCGACTCCCTGCGGGTGTCGGAGGGTGGCTCTCCGCCCAGGAGCGCTCTCTCTCCCCGGCCTGCGGTGGAGAGGCAGGCCCCGGGGCCGTCCTCCCTGCCCGGCCCCGCCGCTGTGGAGGCAGGTTGGAAGCGGTGACCGGCCCGAGGAAGTACCGCGTCCTCCCTCAGGCCCGGGCCCGTGCCCCGTCCCCGCAGCGCCCCAGCCCGGCGCCCATCGCTGAGGGGCTCCCCTGCCGGCGGTGCTGCTCCCCCGGGAAGCGCTCCGGCAGCGGGAATTCGGGCTTTCACCCTACAAATTCACAGGGTATATGACAGGGAATCATTCAGCGTGGTTTCGTGCACCCAACAAATTATACCCGAGGTATTTACAGACAGGAATGAACTCGCCCTGGGCAGAGTGAAGCGCTGCGGTCAGGTTTATATCGTGCTGTACAGATTTTATACACTGCCATGGGTTGTCTCTATAAACGCAGGGTTTGGGTGCTGCCCCGGGGTCCCCGCTGTTCGGTGACGGTGAATTTGAACGTTAAACAAATGGGCCTGTCTGAAAAAGGAGCTCGGTAGTTTGCTTTAGTAATTAAATAATTCAATAATCAGATAATCCGGCTGCTAATCCCCTCTATGTACAGAAACTAACGCAGGCCTTCTTGCAAAGCCTGGCTGTGGCGTTTGCTAATTTGATGGCAGCGTGGTTCCCTGCTTGCAGCTGAGTAATCTTACTCAGCCTGGACTAAGGGGAGATAACCTGATACAGGTTATCTGAGATAACAGGTTATCTCCCCTTTAGTCCAGGCTATCTGCGGCACAGTTCGATGTCGATGGGTGAAGTGACTTGCCAGAGGTGGTTCAAGAAGTCTGAGGCAGAGCCGGCTGGTTCCGCAGCCCTTGATTCCCATGGCTTTGTCTGCTGTGTGAGAAGGAGCTTGGTAGCTCACTTTAATAATTTTTTCCTTACAGCCCTGGTTTTCAGCCCGTCACAGCAAATTTTTTAGAGGAGCGTTTTTCACAAAATTTCTCTAAAGATCAGCTATAGTCCTGTCAAATGTGTATCACTAGATACTAGTTCTAGTGATGCACATTTGAAAAAAAAATCTTGAGAAACCTACTTTTAATTGTCTTCATTTTCTTATGGTTTTTTTTTTTTTTTTTTGTAATGACACACTTACAGAATTGTAGGTGATGATGATGGAGGAAAGCTCTTTACCCCTGAGGAATACGAGGAGTACAAAAGAAAAGTATTACCAATTCGGTTACAGAACAGGTTGTATGTGAGCTGGAGATCGCCAACCGGCATGGACTGTAAGCTGGTGGGACCAGAGACACTGTGCTTTTGCACTCACCGGTAGGAATCTCTTCATTTTTTTGAACTGTTGCATTTTTTAAAATCGGGAAAATGTAAAATGTTTCCAGATACGTTCCAGTGCAGTGTAGGCAAGTTAATTTAAGGTCTAAGGGTTGAGAAAGTTAGGTTTTAAATCATAAGAACTGTTCTTAAATACAGTACATTTAAACCCTTTTTTTATTGTTTTCTTTTTTTTTTGTTTTTTTTTTTTTTTTTTTGTAATGACACACTTACAGAATTGTAGGTGATGATGATGGAGGAAAGCTCTTTACCCCTGAGGAATACGAGGAGTACAAAAGAAAAGTATTACCAATTCGGTTACAGAACAGGTTGTATGTGAGCTGGAGATCGCCAACCGGCATGGACTGTAAGCTGGTGGGACCAGAGACACTGTGCTTTTGCACTCACCGGTAGGAATCTCTTCATTTTTTTGAACTGTTGCATTTTTTAAAATCGGGAAAATGTAAAATGTTTCCAGATACGTTCCAGTGCAGTGTAGGCAAGTTAATTTAAGGTCTAAGGGTTGAGAAAGTTAGGTTTTAAATCATAAGAACTGTTCTTAAATACAGTACATTTCAGTACATTTTTTTGAGACCAAAATGATTTTGTGGTCTTCAATAAATTCAGCTTTAAGGCACAAGTTATTGTAGATCAGATTGATTCTGACAGTGCTGTAAAAATGAAACACAAGCATTTGTGATATTTATATAATGAATGGATGTAAAAGCACCTGATATTATGCATTTAATTGAAAATAAGCAATTCACAGTAATTCGTACAATTAAAGATACTTCAAAACAGAACTCGTAAGATAAATTAGAAGCCTTTCAGTTAGTTTTCTGATGAATCCTAACAAAGTTACAAAAGTCACTGTTTTTGCCTGTTTTAGGTATAAGCAACACAAAACGGACTATGAAGTGATCCCCAAAGAACGTCCTATTCCTGTGCCTTGCAGAGCGAGCCGCTGCCCCTGCCAGTCCTATCACTACGTCCCTCTCAACGGCACGCAGCCCATCCGTTGCAGATGCAAACACTTTGCTGATCAGCACAGTGCAGCACCTGGATTTTCCTGTAACTCTTGTAAGTTGCTGATGGATTCACAGCACTCTTTCCTAGGAAATTCAACAGGAACAGCATGTTAGGGGTCTGTACTCTGCCCAGAGTATTAGGGTATGTGCTGCGCTCGTCACTGATGTGTGTTTTGGTCCTTGCAGAAGGATGGGAAATGGGAAGGAAGACATGGCCTTTTGCATGGGAGGGTTTAGAGCAACATCCTTAGCTTCCCCCCAGCTCTGTGAAGTTTCTGAATGGTTTGGTGAGGTACATATGGAGGCAGGCACCTAACACTAGGCAGTATGGAAACACCCCATATGCAGTTTGTCATTTCCACTGCTGCAAGCACATGACTTTTCTACTTGAACTTGGTAGTTTGAAAGAGAGAAGTGTTGATCTCTGTTCCTCTATTGCCTGGTTGAATATAATGTTAATGTATTTTAACATAAAATATAGCTCTCCGTTCCCAAATAGTACTATTGTTAGCACTCTAACAAAGCAGTTCCCAAGCATAGAGTGTGGGTCCTGAAATGCAAATGGGAATGGAGTTTCAAGCAAAAGGTTTGAGAAGGCATTAAGAGGAAGCTTTTTGCTTCAGTTGTTCGGGATTATTGTAATGAAACAGCAGTAATTATTAACCATAGAAACTAAATAATGCATAAAGATGTTTTAGTTTGAAACCTCAAGTTACATAAGCTGAAGATTTTTTTGTTAAGAGTTCCATACTGTTACTAAATTTCTTTAATGAAGTCTAATTTGCACAGGAAAAATCATAAACAGCTTTTGCTGGATGAGAATCATATCCCACAGAATAAATCATAAAATATTTCTATGACAGCCTTTCAAGAGCTTGATTTAAGTAATGTGAAAGGCTTAATGGCCAATTGGATGATTCAGACTGAATTCTTAGAAAACAGTGGTTTTAATAGTCATTTACATTATGCACTTTTTCTAGTGTTTCTGAAAAATAGCTGTCACTTCTGAGGGCTTCAAAGCTTACATAGAGGAGTGCAAAGACTTGCTTGTGTTTTGGACTTGTGGTGTTTTAATGTACTGGTGTTGTTTGAGCCCCGTGCTGTATAAATCTTATGTGATAAATAAATTAGAGATATACTCTCTCTATAATTGAAAAAATATTGCTGTTGCAATTTATATATTGGATATACTTTATTCTGTATCCAAACACAGAGTAAGAGCTCTGTTACTGAGGAGTGCCCCAAGTGGTATGAAAAAGCCTTTCACGTTTCCAAGAGTGTGATCCTTAAATGTATTACACAAGACTTACAAAAAATCTTTCTTGGTGCTCTGCAAAATGAACTGTAACTGGGAGTTGGAAGCAGGGTAATTTGTATAATGAAGTATTTGCAAAATCAGTTCCTCAATTTCTTGTTCACATCATTGCTCCAGCAGGGCTTTGATGATAGTCTTAGCTGTAGCGAGGGCAGATGTATCGCTTCACTCTCTGTTTCTGAATGTCACGTGTCATTTGTGTAACTATTTCAGTTATATCCTGTGGCTATGTAAACTTAAAAACCCCCTGAAAGTCAGTCTCATGGTACTTGGTACTCTGGTAGTCTTGGTAGAAGTCATACGTAGAACCTATTTTGCTGTTACCACTGCTTCTCTTTACTCCCCAGATAATTTTGCTAATTTTAAAAGACATTTAAACTGTGACTTGTATCAGAAGTTGTGATTTGAAGTTTTCTGGCCATGCAACATTGACACGTGCTGTACACATTTGGAGATAATACTCCCAAAATGCTGGTGTTACTAATGGCAATGGCCACAAGTGGCAACAGAGGAAATGCAGGTAGATATTTGGAAAGAAGTGTCTGCTCCAAGGGAAGACCAGCGTTGGTCCAGGCTACTCAGAGAGGTGGAATCTCCATCCTTGGAGGTACTCAAAACTTGTCTGAATGAGACCCTGAGACTGGACGACTCCTGTGATTTAATCCCCACATTCATCCCTTCTCCTGTTTTATACAGTATTTTCATATTATGATGAAAAGAAGCTGTAAGAAGTTTCAGCAAAGACTGCTGATTGCTTGGCCACAAATCACATACGTGCTTCCAAACAGAAGGCATAGCTGGATACTTTTTCAGGAAAGGACCTCTGGGTTTTGGCAAGATTAGTTTAGGGAAACACCATTTTTTTCTGGAATGAAGTACAAATTCTATTCTCATCTCACTCATTACGCTTATTTATTCGTTAATTAGGTTCCAAGTGTTCAGGCTTTCACAGCTGCTTCACCTGTGCCTGTGGTCAGCCCACATACGCTCATGAGACCGTGGTGGAAACTAAAGAAGAGCGCTTGGCCCAGGGAAAGCCCGTGGGGCAGGACGTTCCTTACGCCGCTATGGGAGGGCTGACTGGTTTTAGCTCACTAGCAGAAGGCTACATGAGGCTGGATGACAGCGGAATAGGTAAGTGCGGCTGAACGCAGCTGAAACTTTAATTCTCCAACTCAGTAGTTTTGAAAAGTAGTAATTCAACAGAGATTTTCAAAGTTGGAAGGCAAACTGGATCACTAGGAGTATGGCTTAAGGACAGGTTTTTTCCCTTTTTCCAAAAGTCATTATGTGTGAAGAGACCACTGCGACCATTTTGTTCAATTTCCTGTAGTGAATGGATAAAAAAAATTCTTTATCATCAATTCTGGTGTTCAGCCCAGTACCTTCTGGTTGAAGTGGAGCATTTCTTTTAGAAAGAACTCTGTAACGTCTGTTTTTCTTTTAGTGCTTCCATGTTATATTTGTGTTAATCCTTTAGCCTAATACTGCCCACGTATTTCTTGGTTATACAGCTAGAGCTTTTTTTTTTAAACCCAAACTCAAAGGTTAATAGCTGGTCAGCATAAGAAAAAGAAGTCATTTGTAGAACTTTGTTTTTGACAGGCATATTAGTTGGCCTTGATACCTCTGCTGCTCTGTGATTTTTGTGTCATTTAGTAGCGGACAGATTTTGTCCTGAAATACTGATTTATAATTTATTATATCTATTTCTTTTTTAAATTCTAATCTGGTTTCCTGGCTTTGTCTGAAGTTTAGAAACTATAGTATAGCCATAGTAATTAAAGAAACAAAACTTTTATTTTGAAGCCATTCTCTAATGCTTTTGTTAACTTGAGTTTATGGGGTCTGCATTGAGGGTTGTGGATATGAATCTGTAGCCTTGTTTTGACTCCATCATGTATGTTCTTAATATTTCTTCTTAAGTTAATTTTTTGTTTTCATTCAACTTATTTTCTAACAGGGGCTCCTTCTGCTGAACTTTTAGAATCCCCTGTTACCAGCATGGATCATCCATTTCTAAAAGCATTTCAGGGACCTTCTAGTTCTGCTCAAACCATCTCACAGATAGCAGGTGCTATATCAGTAGGATAATAGTGTTTTACAGAAAGTATTTAATGTAAAATTAATTGGTTTTATTTTTGAGTTTAAGGATGCTTAAGGCTAAAATCAAAGTTAAAAATTAAAATGAGTATTGAAGCCTTTTATGTGAAAAGTTAGTGCAACGTTCAGGTACTTGAAGTACTTAGAATAACTGTTTGTAATTCCTTGTTATTTTTGCTCATTATATTATTATTTATAATATTATTTTTAACTTTAATGATTTTTTTTTTGTGGCATCTGGTATCTTCCCCATTAATGTTGTCATTTATTAGTTGTATTGTTTTTTCAAAATTTTTAATTCCTACTAGAAGCTCATATATCTGAATGGATTGTACGTATTCAGTGCAATCCTGTGAAACTGTCTTCTGCCAGAAAGTCTTTTCTGCATGGAATTATGGATCAGTTATGCTTATTTTATGTCCTTTATTTAGTATAAGAATTTAGCAATTAATTTAACTGTTGAACTCCTCCAAGAGTATAATAGCTGCTAGCCTAGACTAAAACAGTTACTCTTTGGTCACAATTGCAGGTGTTCATTATTTGCTTATGAAGGTGAGTTCTCATTTTAAATGTGTTTTGCCAAACATAAAACATTACTAATGCAATAGCAAGTATAATTAATTTTAAAAGTTTTGGGTGGGTTTTTTTTTCAGGTGCTTCCAGTGCCATAAGGCAAGTTTCTCATGGAAAGCAATCAGAAGATGAGGACATGGCTTACTTTGAAAAGCGTTATCAAGAACGGGCAAGTGACTACATTTATTGCTTAATTCATATAGATTTTCACAACAGGATGTCTAAAAAAACAGGATTTGTTATTTAAGTGGCATATAAATACATTATATCCTTTGTTCTATGCCTGAGAAAACATTAGCTTCTTAAAATAAAGTTTTAAATACTATTATGAGCTATTGCAGGATTTCATAGATCGGTCATATCTGGGTTGGTATTTACCTGAACTGGGCAGATTTTTATTGCGGTAACCCTCCATTACAGAAAACCAAACTATTTTACTATACCAAGCTATTTTTGTCACATAGTTATTTCTTTTTGAAATAACAAAGCAGACTCACAGAAAGTCCCCTGTGATGTTTCAGAACGTGTGTCTGCTATCTCATTTATATAACTTTATATACTTTTTTCCTTACGAATGCCTGTGTAGTTGGGCTAAATCTGGTGTCTCTGTCTTAGATGATCTGAATGACTCCCTTAGAGGTGCCTCCTCCACCCCACTGACTATCTTAAATTTAAATACTCTGTGGTGTAGGTTAGTTAGATGCTTGAAGACCTTTTCTTTCCCCATTTTAGCTCCTCGGCTCTACTGTCTCAGCTGGAATTATGTCTTGACTGTTTATGAATTCTTTTGTAAGGCAATGTTGGATAATTAACTTTCAAAATCTTAACTGCTGTCATGCTCACTGCTTGCTACAAGGTGTTTGTTAATAAGAAAGCTGTTCTAGCTTTGTGAAACTTTAATAATTTTCTTTATTTTGGAAATAATCACAAAATCTGGTAAGATGTTACACATATATTATCAGTTTATAGGAGAAAACGTGTTACTGTCAAATCCAAATTGCTATGTTTCTTTTTTGCCCTAAGATTTTCTTTTCTTTGGAAAAGGTAGCAAGAATTTTGGATACAAACCTCAAGCCTCCAAGTATGGAATAATGTTTTAAAATGAGTTTCTGTGTAGACCAACAACAGAATTTCTTAGCAGTAGGTTTAGTTGTAGACATCCAAATCAGGACTGGGGCTTTGCTTCCTTTTGACACTATTTTTTGGGGGGGAAGCATGTTAAAAGCATTATTTTATTTTTCTTTGCATTTTTGATAGCAACATGCTGTGTTATGTTAGATGAGATGCAAAAGTCCATGCATCCCTACTATATAATTGCTCTAAATAGAATTTCCTTCACTAATGTGACAATACTTGAGGACAACTGTTGCTTTGAAAAACCACAGATAAATTTGTTCAGATTAATAGTCTTACTACAAAATGGCAGAGTCAAATGTATGTGTGTTGGTAAATTATACCATGCTGTAAGAGCCCACTGTGTAGAAAAATCTGATGAGAGGAAGACACGACATTTTGAGTCAGCGAGGAGACACCAAGATGCAGGTTTAGCAACAAACTTCCTGTGTGATTTTGTGCCTGCTGGTTAGTCTAACTGCATCTGTTACACGTGTGTAATAAAACTTCTTTACTTTTCATTGACATAAAGATAAAACTGTGATCATTTGTGAGGCACTTTGGCCTGAAGGGGTACGTGAATACCTAGATGGCCATTACCAGAGATAAAAGCATCTCTGGTTTGAATAGGGGAGGAGCTGTGGAAGTGCTCCTTTTGCCCTGTGATGCAAAAGTAAGCAATGTGAGGTCGGGCTAATAATGATCTGTAGCTCTCTCCATTGCCTGTATCACTCTGGTAAATTTATAACTAGATTAAGAGGTTTAAAGTTGCACTACTTGCAAATTAATACTTGAACCGCTTTTGGTGTCTTTTCTTTGTTACAGCTGAAAAAGGAGAAGGCTGCTAAACGGAAGGAGAAAAGTCCAGTACCATCAAAGAAGCCATGAGATTAATAAAGAAGTAGTTCTTATATGGCACTGTGTTAATTGTTGTATTGGAGAGTAGTTTTTGCTGTGCCTACCTGCATACTTGTATTTCTTCATTTCTTTATTCTGCTCTTTTGGTCTGTTGCTGAAATTAATTTTTAATTGTCTTGTTGTAATAAAATTGGTACTTTAATTGATGTGTTTCTAATCTCCCAAACTATTACATAGATACTCCTTTGAGAATCGAAAATCATATTTAGAGATTTACAAAACTGTTACTTAAGATCTGAGAGAATAAGCATGTGTTTAAGTATTACATTGTAGTAAGGCAAAGAAAATCCCATTTCCAACTTTTATGATGCACTTTCTTTATTTGTAGAGTCCTTGGAACTCATCTTATTCATGCATTTTTACTTGGTGGGATTTATTCTGTTACTATTGACATTTTAACCTTTTCTTCAAATCTTTTTTTTTTTTCCTCTTCGTTTAATCACCTTTACGCAAAATTCAAACATGCCCTCCTTCTCTCCCACTTCTTGCCAATGTATAAATATTTTTTACATGTGAGGTTCTGTATGTGTGTAAACCCATTTCCACACACACTGACTTGAGGGGACCCTGCTTGTATGATTTATGCTGGATTTCTCTGGAAAGGAATCCTCCTCTGCCAGGAGGAGGGTTCTCCCAATTCTGTTTGTCTGATACAGTCCATACCAATGTTTCTATTACACTTAACTTCTGAAATCATTATGTGGAAATGGATATGCTATTTATTGCATGTAAACAAATCTAGAGTTTGATGTAAGCTTATTTGTCTAACAGATACTCTTTTGTCGTGTCTAATCCAACACAGATCGAGTCCCTCAAGAAGGGAGAAGAGCTTTTGTATTCTTTGTCCATATTCAAAGCTGTGGCAGCATATGTTGTGCTAAAGGTAGGGGACAGGAAAATATAAAATTTGTTAACTTTGTGTGGTGGTCTAAATCTGTGAAGCAGCACAGCAAGAATGTGGTACAGAGTAACGGGCAGAGGCTGCAGCTTTGGAGGCAAAAGCAGAGCCTGAGCTAATTTTGTTAGTCTCCTCTAAAAACAGAGAGGTCTAAGGCCGTTTGTCCTTAAAAACACTTGAAGATGTCTCTTGGACGGAAGACTTTTGCGGTGGTACATGTGTACTGAGACCTTTAGCTTTAAATTCAATAGTATAACATACTGCTTTAACTTAATAAAGATGAATATTATTTTGAGCTCCCTCTTCTGGTCCCAATAAGCAATCATTGCTACAGATACTCTACTTAAGTCTTGTAAGTAAATGGGGATTTCACAATAGAATTACAAGAAACAAGCAAGTGTAAAGAACAGTGGTTAAAAAAAAAAAGGTAAATAAAAATATAGAAAAAATATTTTGATTTCAGTCTTCAGAGAGATTATTACAGAGTGGAGAGTGGAAATTACGCTTGAGAGTGGAAATCCATTCTACTCTCATATTTATCCCATGGCTATACCCACTAGGAAATGCAGTTCCAGAAATGTATGTATATTTCAGAGATGAGGCTTCTCACAGCAAAATACTGTTGAAGACAGGGGTTTTAATAGTTAAAAAAACTTGTATTTTGTGTTTCTGTTTATACTGATAACTTTTTACTTTTAGGAAATAATGTATTTTTTTGACATTTTGAGATAAAAATTCGTGTCAGTTTTAAATGTTTGCCAAATTCAGTCTTACTAAGCTGTACTGTGATCATGATGAACTGTTTTAAATGAAGTCAATTTTAAAAAATTTTATTCTGTGCTTAAACTTACTTAAAATTTACACTTAAAGCCTAATTGCATAGGTCTTGGGCAATTGTCTCATTTTTCTAATAGCTGGCTTTCAAATCAATATTTTTCCATTATTATAACACTCCTTGAGTGCAGAACAGCATTTTCTGACTCGTTTTAATCATCCTATGGAAAGGCTTCGATGTACCTTGGCTATTTATGACAGTAGAGACTGGCCAATGATCCTAAGTGGGGAGGGGAAGGGGCTCCTTCCCATTCTGTGCTGGTACTAAATATAAAGCACGTCCGTCTGTCTCGGGTTTGGGGGGAAGGGGAGCCTCACGTGTGAATTCACAGCCAGGAACGCCATCCGTGCAGAATCGCTTCGTCAAGTTGTCAGTGTCTTTGCATCATGTTGTGCATGTTAAACAGTGCTCAGGTCTCCTGTCTGTGTGTCCCCGGGGTATCTGGCGGTAGTTTTGTTGTAGCCATGTACCTTAAGGAAAGAGACGACTTTGCAGGTAGTGACAGTATTTTTTTCTTAGCACAAATAGAATTGAACAACAAAGGTTTTCCAGTTTAAAAGACCTTGCACAGGTGTACCTGGGTATTTTTGGTTTTTTGTTTTTTTTTCCCCCCCTGTAACAAAAGATACTCTTTTTTTTCTAGAAGCTTACTCTTGCTTTGGAGCCCTTAGCATTTGTCTTCTGGCAGAGTAACTCCTTATTTGCTTTACACTGCTTTTATCTCTAATTTTACATTACACTGGACCCATGTGGTCTGCCCTGGCTGGGCATGGAGCCCACATGCTCCTTCAGTCACCTCCCACGGGAAAGTCCCCGACTCAACCATAACAGGTTGCCTGTGCGACGCTGGCACCTCTGCCTCGCTAATTTCACTGAATTTCACTGAATTTCACTGAGTTGGAAGGGACCATAGAGATCATCTAGTCCAACTCCCCTGCTGAAGCAGGATTGCCTAGAGCTAGAGCATGTTACTCAGGACTGCATCCAGGCAGGTCTTGAAAATCTCCAAGGAAGGGGGCCATGAAGATGATCAGAGGGCTGGAGCACCTCTGCTGTGAGGACAGGCTGAGAGAGTTGGGGTTGTTCAGCCTGGAGAAGAGAAGGGTCTGGGGAGACCTTAGAGCCCCTTCCAGTGCCTGAAGGGGCTACAGGAGAGATGGGGAGGGACTCTTTATCAGGGAATGATAGGACGAGGGGTAATGGTTTTAAATTGGAAGAGGGGAGATTTAGATTAGATACCAGAAAGAAATTATTTCCTGTGAGGGTGGTGAGACACTGGAAGAGGTTGCCCAGAGAAGCTGTGGCTGCCCCATCCCTGGAGGGGTTCAAGGCCAGGCTGGATGGGGCTTGGAGCAACCTGGTCTGGTGGGAGGTGTCCCTGCCCATGGCGGAACTCAGTGATCTTTAAAAGGTGCGAACCATTGACCACTCCGCCCTGTGGCTGCACCGCCGGAGGTGAGGGGCTGCCCGCGGGCAGCACCGGCGCCTCCTTCACGGCGCAGGCCCAGGGAGGAGGGCGCGGCCCCAGCGGGGAGGCCCCACCGGCCGCGGGCAGCGCTGAGGG